GGCCCCAACATGTCCCCTTCCAGATGATGCATACGCGTGGAGGGGGCCATGGCCCTGCAACCATTAGAAGCAGCAGAAGTGGGCAGACCAGAGACAGCCCTGGAACCAGCCACTGGTCACAGCTTGGCAAGCTCAAGAGGCTCCATCGGCTGGGGTAGGAGAGTGATGGCCTCATCGTGTGTTCTGTTCCTTTTGCTTTTATTCTTTTGGCTTTGCTCCAAAGGTAACGGGCCACTGATGGAAGCACTGAGGCGACGGACATTGTAGAGTGAAAGAAGAAGACCCCCTCCTCCCACCTTCCCCAGATGTGATATGATGATGTGTGTGCTCAGTCATAGCCGAATCTTTGCAACCCCATGGACTGTCACCTACCAGGCTCTTCTGTCCATGGGATTTCCTGGAGTGGAAATATGCTGGAGTGGGTTGCCATTTCCTTCCCCACCCAGGGATCAAACCCACATCTCCTGCGTCTCCTGCACTGGCAGGAGGATTCTTTATTGCTGAGCCCCCTGGAAAGACCCACCCCCGCCAATCCAGGTGCTTCTCCAAATGTGGCTACAGTCACTGCTGGGTCCGAATCTTCCAGATGTTCTCCAGGCACAAGTGCATCTGGAAACACCCAGAAATAGGCTTTTTCTGCAAAACACATGCAGCCACACACACCATTCTGCCTTCCCCCGGGGAGTGTGTGCCCTTGTCCCCAAGCCTGAGGAGCATGGCCTTGACCTTCTCAGTGCTGCTCAGTGACCTGTCATCCGACTGACCAAATTCCTCCAAACCATCTCTAACGAGGCTTTCCCATTTAAGAATTTTTCAGTTATTGACGTTTTTCAGATTTTAAACTATCACAAATAATAGTGGGTCGTTTCCCACACACCCCTCTCCATCCCCGTGGTGTGGTCGAGGATTGGACACTAACTTGGAACCACACGGGGAAGACTGCACATGTTTACAATGTGGGAGGAAGCTATCAGGGTCGGAAGCTCCATTTTTTAGATTTAGTTTTTATTTTATGTTGGAATAGAGTTGATTTGCAATGTTGTGCTAGTTTCAAGAGAACAGCAAAGTGATTTGGTTACATATATACATACATTCTTTTCCATTATAGGTTATTACAGGATATTGAGTAGGGTTCTCTGTGCTCTAAAGCAGGTCTTTGTTGATTATCTATTTTATATATAGCAGTGTGTATATGCTAATCCCAAACACCTAGTTTATCCCCCCTCCTATCCCAAATGGTAACCATAAGTTTGTTTTCTGTGTCTGTGAGTCTGTTTCTGTTTTGTAAATAAGTTCATTCATATCATCTTTTTAGATTCTACATATAAGGGATGCCAAATGGTATTTGTCTTTCTCTGACTGACTGACTTCACTTAGTGTGACAATCTCTAGGTCCTCCCATGTTGCTGCAAATCATATTATTTCATTCTTTTCAATGGCTGAGTAATATTCCATTGTGTATATACCACATCTTCTTTAACCATTCATTCAGCTCTTGATGGGCATTTAGGAAAAGACTCAAACCAATAAAGTTAGAAACGAAAGAAAAAGTTACAACCGACACCACAGAAATACAAAGGATCATAAGAAACTACTACTACTACTACCAACTCTATTGACATAGCAACTCTATGTCAATAAAATGAACAACCTAGAAGAAAAGGAAAAGTTCTGAGGCACCATGTTTGAAGGACGATGAAGCAGGTCCTAAAGGGTCTCTCCTCTCCTGTCCAGGTGCTGTAAAGCTGCCACGTGGAAAACCAGAGGCAGGGGCATGGTTAGATCAGCAACACCTGCCATGTAGTCTCCTCGAGCTGCAGGGACAAAGGGCCACACCAGAAAGCCTTTCACAACAGACATGTCTTGCCTTGCAGCTCTAGGGGCTGGAATCTGGGCGTGGCTCACCCTGAGCCACGGCGTGGGCCCTCATCATGTGGCCATTCGGCTGCCGGCCAGGTTGCGGTCACATCTGAAGGGTGGATGGGAGGTGAGAAGGGCTCAGCTCCCCGTTCACCATGTAATCGTCAGCAGGCCTCAGACCACCACCTGCGCCCCCTCCCAAGAAGCCTCATGACACAGCAGCCGGCTTCTCTTAGTGAAGCAGCTGGGGGTGGGCACCCAGGACGGAATCATCCTCTTTAAGCTGATCTTGGAGTGATGTCTCATCACGACCCCTGCTGTTCCTGTTGGTCAGAGTGAGCCAGCCCAGGGCAGAGCAAGGAGGGGTGCCTGGAGAAGGGGTCATTGAGGGCCATCTTGGAGGCTGCCCTCCTGGGCACTGACCGGAGCACCAGGACTGGAGGGAAGGTCACCAGCTGGCAGCGCAGACCCACTCAGCTCAGCAGAGATGCTGCCTTCTGCTGGCCACTCAGGGCACTAATGGAGTTTAATGGAAAGCAGTGCGTGGATGTTTTGGGAGAGCGGGGGACACAGGTCAACCAGCAGGAGCACCCCGGCTGGGCACAGCCTCTTCTGGACCCCTCCCTGGCAGCGTAGCTTATGTAAAACACTAACACGGCCACTTCTTATTGCTTCAGAATTCTCCTTCCTGATCTTGGACATCCCGGGGAACCTAGGGTGACATCTTTCCCTCCACACCCCACCCCACCCCCTGCCTCCTGACCGTGGAGTCTCTGAGCTGCCTGGCACCCCCTCACCCACGTGGCCCTCAGACAAGGGGGTCTCTCGCCCCCTGCCGGTGCCCTGCTGGAACCGCCGATAGCGAGATCTGGGGCGGTGGGGGTGGCGGGGGCGGGGCCGGGGCGCGGGAACAAAGGAGGCTTGTTAGCTTCATGCAGGCAGGACACCGAGGGGAGGGGAAAAAAATCAATGTTTGCTAAATAGGGGGAAAAAAATCACCCTGACTCAGTGGGGACAAGGTTTATTTTCAAGTGTATTAAAGTGATTACCCAGAGGAAAAGCGGAGCAAATGAACAAGTGTGCAGAGTGGTGAGTCGCTCGTTTTCCCGAAGAGCTCGGAAGAGCAGGCTCTGTGCGCGTCCCCCCAGCCGGACACAGCCAAGCTTTCGGTTTTAAATAGTTTATAACATTTCAGAGGCAGCTTCTAAGTGGGGGCCGTCCCTGGAGAGGCCCGGCAGACCTCTGCATTTAGCCAGTGATAAATAACCCAGAGCGCACAGGGCCCGGAAGGATCCCAGATTTAATTCAAATAATTTAAAATCTAATGTTGAAAGAGCTCTTTGCATTCATGGGCCGTGCGCATTTCCAGCTGGAGAAAGAAAAGGCTTTGTGTTCCGGGTGGGGGCAGGGTGACAGGCTGGAGCCCAAAGTTCGGGACTAACCTTTTTACCATGTGCTGCTTCCAGCCCGCTCAGCAGCATTTTTCATACTATAAGTGGCATCAGTGCTGAAGCCAGACAAGGGGGGAACACGATTTATCCTCTCCTGGAGTTTTGACTCCAGGTGAAAGGATTTTTGTCCACGGTGAGGTTGCTTTCTCACAAGCCCCTTCTCTGACAATGCTCATCCCTCCCCACAGCTCAGGTTTCTAGATGGAAGCATCTTGATGCAGACGCGGTCCCCCACACCACCCCTGCGAATCTTCTGGGGCCCCATGGCGTGGTCCCTGTCATGGTAGGAGGCCGAGACCCATCTGAGGAGGAAGCCCCCACTCCGCCTCACCCCCATCCGGCCTTATCCACACATCAGGAAGACAGCCAGGGCCACCAGGAGATGGTCCCAAGGATAGGTGGCTGAGACTGGCCAGAGAATCCAGGCTCAGTTCTGAAGGATATGCAAACCAGTGTGTTGTGTCAGTGTCGGCCCAAGATTCAAGGCCACTCAGAACCTCAGAATGTGACAGTGTTTGGAAATAGGCTCTCCACAGATGCAATCAGATCATGTTGGGTTAGAATGGACGAGAATTCCAATGACTGATGTCCTCGGAAGAAGGAAAACCAGAGACACGCAGGGAGAGACGTGTGATGATCGAAACGGGGGTGACATGTCTACAAGCTGAGGACCATGGCCCCACCAGATGCTAGGAGAGGCCTCAGGCAGGTGGCCCCTCAGAGCCCCCAGAAGTACCCAGCCCTGAACACAGCTGGATTCAGAATTCCAGCCTCAGACTGTGCCAGAGCAGATTTCTGTTGTTTTAAGCCCCTGCCCCCGTATTTTGGTGTTTTATTACAATGTCGGGGGAAGATTCACAGGATAACGTCAGAGGTCTGAGTTGTGTAGCAGTTGTATAGTTGTGTAGTTACAACATGCCTCCATCTGTTGGCGTTATATAAACATAGGTGCCAATGCAGGAGACGCAAGATATGCTGGTTCGATACCTGGGTCGGGAAGATCCCATGGAGGAGGAAATGGCAACCCACTCCAGTATTCTTGCCTGGGAAATCCTGTGGACAGAGGAACCTGGCGGGCTACAGTCCATGGGGTTGCACGGAATCGAACATGACTGAGCACACACACACACAGGTGTCATGACTGGTGACAGAAAGCATCCCCTATGTGAGCTGCAGTCTTTCCAGGAGCTGTCTGGAGGTGGCCGCTGGCACATGGAGCAAATGGACACACTTCTCAGAAGCTTTCCCACAGCCTCAGAATGTCATGGGGACGTAACACCCACCAGCTTGCCTTTCTAAAATGACCCATTTCCCCAGTCCTGACTTACCTTTCTTTTTCTTTTTATGAGAATCTATGGGACCTTCTCTTTAAAGGTACCCAAAAGGCAACCTCTCTTGTCAGAATTCATCTCTGGCTTGGGTGGCAGAGGCCCTGGAGCATCTTGGAGGCATTCTCAGGAGAGGGAAGTGGTCCCCCCAACCATCTCAGTCCCACGTCACATCTCACTGTCCCCCAGCAGCGTCAGACTCTAGACAACCAGCCACACAGACCTAGACTGCCAGGGGCTCAGACAACATTTCTGTAGAAATAAACATTGTGGGCCCATCAAGAGGGAGACCCTGGCTGTTTCCTGTGCTCTAGCTCTCATTGTGGCAGCACCCATGGCAGCCCTGGCGGATGCAGGAGCAATGGCAGTGACCGATATAGCTCGCCAGGTGGGTAAAGGTTGCCGAACGGTCCCCCTGGCTGGACATGTGGGGTTCGACAGGTTGCCCAACCAGCTGATGAATAAGTCAGTCAGCCAGGGCTTCTGCTTCAACATCCTGTGCATGGGAGAGACAGGTTTGGGCAAGTCCACCCTCATGGACACCCTGTTCAACACCAAGGTCAAGGGGGAGCCAGCCACCCACACACAACCAGGAATCCAGCTCCGGTCCAATACCTATGAGCTTCAAGAGAGCAACATGGGGCTAAAGCTGACAATTGGTAACATGGTGGGCTTCGGGGACCATATCAACAAGGAGGACAGCTACAAGCCCATTGTGGAATTCATCGATGCCCAGTTTGAGGCCTACCTGTAGTAGGAGCTGAAGAACTGCAGGGTACTGCACACCTACCATGACTCTCGCATCCATGCCTGCTTGTACTTCATCACCCACACGGGTCATTCCTTGAAGTCTCTGGACCTAGTGACTAGGAAGAACCTGGATAGTAAGGTGAACATCATCTCCATCATCATCAAATCAGATGCCATTTCTAAAACTGAGCTAACCAAGTTCAAAATCAAAATCACCAGCGAGCTTGTTAGCAACAGAGTCCAGATCTACCAATTCCCTACAGATGACAAGTTAGCAGCAGAGATCAACAGAACCATAAATGCCCACCTGCCATTTGCTGTCATGGGCATTACAAAAGAACTGAAGATAGGTAACAAGATGATGAAAGTGTGGCAGTATCCCTGGGGCGCAAGCTGAAAATGAAGCCCACTGTGACTTTGTGAAGCTGCGGGAGATGCTGATCTGAGTCAACATGGAGGATCTCCGAGAGCAGACCCAGGGCCCGCACTATGAGCTGTACCGCCGCTGTAAGCTGGAGGAGATGGGCTTCAAGGATACCGACCCTGAGAAAACCATTCAGTTTACAGGAGATGTATGAGGTCAAAAGGAACAAGTTCCTAGAGGAGTTCTAAAAAAAAGAAGAGGCGATGAGACAGATTTTCGTCCAGAGTCAAAGAAAAAAGCTGAAAAAAAAAAAAAAAGCTGAACTTCAAGAAGCAGAGAAAGAGCTGCATGACAAGTTTGACCGTCTGAAGAAACTACACCAGCATGAGAAGAAGCTAGAGAATAAGAAGAAATCCTTGGATGACGAAGTGGACACTTTCAAACAGAAGAAGACGGCTGCGGAGCTTCTCCAGTTCCAGGGCTCCCAGGCTAGAGGCTCACAGAGTCTGAAAAGAGACAAAGGGAAGAAAAACTTTTTTTAATCTTGTCTTCAGCAGCTGCACTAAGTCTAAATGAAAAGACTACCATTATAGAAGAGTTAGGGTTCTATATTGTCTCAAACCAGAAACCAACCAATACCCTCTCCCTCCAAATTGTGCGCGTGTGCTCGTGTGCATGCACTCATACACACACTCTCTCTTAACAAGTCTTCAAGTGTCCAGGCAAGAAGCTCTCTCCAAACTTACATGGTATTTTAAATGAAAGTGTCTTGTCCTAATCTAACAAGGCAGGAAAAGATCCATCCGAGCTGGAGAATGGACTCAGTGTAACCTCAGAGAGACAACTGCAGGATGACTCACCCAAGTGTAAGTGACTGAGGCAGGAGAGCTCAGCTGTGGGTGTGGAAGTACTGTTTGCAAGTTTTTCATCTGAGTTTTCTGTTTTTCTTTTTAAACACCAGTTCTCCAGTTCAATGGGTCAATTGTCTACAGCCACTATTAAACATTTCTGAGTATGGATGAGAAAGTCAAGCAACATTCATATCTTCTTCAGCATTTACAGACCTTCTGCAGACCCCCTCAGCAAGCAGGGTGAGTGGATCTACTAACATTCAGGTGGAGAAAGGAAAGGAGAGATAAGGGAGTTTAAGCTTAGTGAGAGCAAAATTACTCCATTCAGTCTTCCAAGGCCAGTTGGAGTTTTGAGAGAGGTTTCTGCTCAGTGTGGGACCTGGAGGGAGAGCTTTGATGTTGATAAATCTGTCCTGAATTCATTGCTTTAACTTGCATTGAAATACCATTTGAGTGTGCCCATCCCCATATAACCCTACGACCATTGCCATTCTACTGTCCTGTGTCTCATGAGACAGCCTATTTGCATGTTTCCAGAATCTGTGTTCATTCTTCCTTTCTTCTCCTTTGTTCTTTTTGCTCAGAAATGTGACCAGTCATTGCTCCTCTGGGGCTTTCTTTCTCTAGGAGAAACAACCCCAAACCAGCACAGTTTAGCTTAATATCTTTCTAATGTCCATGTCAATTTTCAATAAAATTCAAAGAAATGCTAAAAAAAGAAAAAAAAAAGGAGACCCTCCAGGGTGCTCAGGAGCAGCCTCTCTGGGCAGAGCCAGGGTCACGGGTCTGAGGTCTTGGTGGTGAGTCGGTGGGGTGGGGCTCGAACTAATTGGGGTTTCCTAACCCAACACAGAAAACTGCAGGCCCGAGCCCCCTTCTCTGGTGCTTTATCTGCCCACCTCCCTCAGGGCTGATAACCTCCCTTACTGCTCAGGAAACACAGTCGGGCTGGTGGACACAGCAAGCACCTGGCCAGACCCACTGCCCGAGACGGGGAAGGATCAGCTGGTGTCGTCACTGCTTCAGTCCTTCAGTCTGAATAAATCCCCGCCCAGACTGTGTCCAGACCGTGTCCAGAGGCCAGCCGACCCTGCCTTCCCTCCCCGACCTCTCCCTTGGCTCACCCTGCTCCCCACATTTGCCCTCCTTGGGCTCCTCATGGTTGGGGTGACTCATCGCTCCAGTTTGCAGAGAATTTCCTCCAAACTCCCAGAGACTCAAAGGGGCCTCCTGGCTCCCCCCTCCACCACAATGTCCAGCAGGGGGGCCACAGCCTCCTGTGACCATGTCCACCCACACTCTCAGGGCCCCAGCCACTGGGCAGTAGCCACGTGCAGCTGGTGGCTGCCAGGCTGGCTGTGGCCGTGCGGGCCTGCCCACTAGGGCATGGAGGTCTGTAGACAGTGCTGTCTGGGGCACCACCTGCCAGGACCACTCCTGAGCAGCCTGCCCGGCATTGCCCAACATAGCTGGTGAATCAGGGGTGTGTCCGTGTGCTGGTTTTCTGACCATAGCCTATTGTCAGAGGTGGGTTGCCGCATGTGTAGGACCTGCCCTCACAAGGCATTTTCTCTGGTTTATTTGAAGTTCAAATTTAACTGGGCATCTTGAATTTGTGTCTGCAAACCTGGCTGCCCCACCTGCCTGCACCCAGCTCACAGGCATCGGTTCAGGGTACTAAGCTCCCTGGGGTGGGCATGTTCACGGTTGGTCTGGCTGGTGTTTTCCTCAAAGGAGCCCCAAACGTGGAGCAACTCTGGGTGCAAGCGCCCTCCCCATCCCAGCCTAAGGAGGCAGGCGAAGGGGGAACGTGAGCCTCAGCGAGCCCAGCTGGGCATCCGTGCCAAAGACGTGCCTGCAGCTTTCCAGAAGGGAATTCATCCTAAAAATGGAAACTGCCCATCCCCCACAGCCCGCCTGTCTGCCCAGACTCCCAGGAGAGGGACCCCTGGAAACCCCGCGGCAGACACTTGACACAGCCCCAGTGTACCCGCGGTTCTCACAAGAGCCGGGAGGTAAGCGTTACCCACACTTGGCCCTTATCACCACGTTCCCAAGTTATCAGCAGCAACTCTCTTAGGCTGAAACAGCCAGATGGAGATGGGAGCCTGGCGGGTGCCAGGAACCTGGGACAGAGTCTGCCGTGCTGGGGGGAGAGCAGTGGTCTGCGCTGCTCCTTCCTGTGTCCTTCAAGGGCCAAATCTTTGAGGATGCTGTTCCAAAGGTTTAGTGTGGATGAGCCCGGGGCCCCCATCTTGGCCTCACACCCTACTAGGGCACGTACCGAGTGCCTGGCTGAGTTTGCTGGGGACACTCGGTGGGTGGTGGGGTGGGCAGGGGCGAGGTAACTCATACTTGTCCAGATGGTGTCAGAGCCGGGTATGTGCCATGAAGAATAGGAAATAGTTGGAGACAGACTGGGCAGGGGGACAGGTGGCCGAGGATGTCCTCACTGAACTGAGACCCCAAAGGCTAGGCAGAGGGCACCATGGGTGCCCGGCTGCAGAACATTCCAGCATGGCAGGGAGCAGCACAAGGGGCAGGGTCGGCAGAGGGCTGGGGCAGGAAGGACTTGGGCCTCCCAGTTCTCTGCTCACCATAGACACTGGCTCTCGAATTCAGGGCGTGTCCCCATCAGCCCTAACCTGGTGGATTCAAGTCAGAGGAAGGCCCACATCTAACGCCAGTGGATGAGGGGCGGGGATGGGCAGTCAGGCCTTCGGGTCAGGACTGGACTGGGCTGGAGCAGCCAGGAGCCCCAGGCTCAGGTCCCCTAGCCTTCAGCCCCCACTCTGTGCACCCACAGTCAAGGAGGGCCCTCTTCACAGGACGTGGCTGGGTGGCCTAGGCTTCTGAAGGAGGAGGATCCAAGGAAAGCCATAACCCCTACAGAGAGGCCTGGGGGCCCCATCTGTAACAGCCACTGGCCTACAGCTTCGTCAAGTGGCCCCAGCACCCTGGCTTGTACCCCACACTGTAGACAGGGGGCAGGGTTTGTGGGCTTGCCAGGGTTCTCTCCCCACTGGAAAGTCAGGGTGTTACAAGGGAGCCAAGCGGCAGGACCCCACAAGATCACTAGCCTGATTCACTCTTGCCTCCCAGGAGCCCAGTAGAGGCAAGGTTTTCTGAATTAATTTTGCTCATTAGCTTGGGCTCCTAGGAGCAGATAACTTCCCATGGAGATGGTGCTGCAGTGGACGTTCTTGCACACATATCTTTGCACAAGGGTGTCATCTGCTCCTTACAATCAAATTCTTGATGCAGTGGGACTTCTTGGTGATCCAGTGGTTAAGACTTTGCCTTCCAACACAGGGGATTCAAGTTCAACCCCTGGTTGGGGAGCTAAGATCCCACATGCCTCCAGGCTGAAAAACCAAAACATCAAACAGAAACAATGTTGTAAAATATTGAATAAGACTTTAAAAAAATCTATCACATCAAAAAAATCTGTCATGACATCACAACATCCCCTAAAGGTGGCAACCAGCCGCTCAGTGGCCAGTTGGTTCCATGAAACCATTTCCCTGCTGGAAAGTCCAGGGACTCATCTTGATGGATTGTTGTGTGTTCTAGGTGTGGGTTTGCTTTTCCTGCATGTGGGATCTCCTGGGCACCTCAGCTCCCCTGCCCTTCACTGTCTCCCAGAGTTTGCTCAAATTCACGTCCATTGAGTCAGTGATGCTATCTAACCATCTCATCCTCTGCCACTGCCATCTCCTTTTGCCCTCAATATTTCCCCACATCAGGGTCTTTTCCAGTGAGTTGGCTCTTCGCATCAGGTGGCCAAAG